ACAGGAAAAAAGGGACCTGTGTTATTTTTAACAAGTAGTGCCTCATCTATAGAAAACCATTTAAATTAACTTCTCTTTACAAATGTACAAAAGGCCTTAAGTATATTTTGGAATTAAATACTGAACATCGTAAGATTACATTGGTATTCCTACGACTTCATGGACAGACAGACATCATATATACAGATAGACAGACTTTAATAAATGTATTGACAGAAAAAGTCCTTTCTTTACTTTGGAAATGTGATAAAAGTTTTACAAATACAATCATGAAACCAACAAAGCACAGAGGGGATTTCTCAGCTCGTATCACTGACCATATCAGCTACTCGTGACTCTTAATTTCTTTATACACTTCTAAACCTTACTTCTATTTTTTCATGGCATTGCTGACACACAGTGTGGGTGATGGACTGAGATGACATTTAAGCTACTCTGCAGTACGACCCGAGTGTAAGCAACTTCTGAAAAGATTCAGAACTAAAAGAAGGGTAACTGATAAAGAATGCAACCTAAAGGTGTTTTGTATAGTCAAGAATGCTAATGTCTTTACTAATTATAACACATGTTATCACTTCGGTGTGTTTAGTTTCGTTTTGTTGTTCTTTATCAGATTTTGTTAATGCTAGGGCACAAACATGCACCAGACATAGAACAAATGGCAATGAAGACCACAAAGTCTGACTGCTGACAACCTAAATACATTTATGTTGATTAAATTATACAGAAGTGTATAATTCATTTTGTTTCTAACAAACAGCAAAATCTATACAGTTAAATTACTTGATGGCTGTCAGAACTGATATTCATGTAATATATAATCACACTGAACCTGCCATCCAATTTGAACATACAGATTTTAAATAGGTCTTCTGCATTAAAATCAGAAAAACAATATATTTGCCATTTATGTTCATTCTGAAATCTTGGCATTCTAGATTAAAACGACTGCTATGAAACAGACACATGTAGTGAAAATTGTTCTACAAACCACCTAATTCTAATGATGTCTAAATCAGACATCAATTACAGTATAATGTAGTTTTATATAATGAAATCGGGGATTTTTGTATAAAATGACACTGTGGTTTTCATGGGAGATTTCAGCTTGCTTCACATAGATAGGGACCTAAAGGAATGTCAGTAACTGAAATTGAAATGACAGACTAGATTAATGACTGAGTTTGTACTATAGTTTCAGAACACCACCTATAGGAAGCAATAGTTTTAATTTAGCATTTTTTAAACAATCTAGACTGTGTGAGGAAAAACACTGTAAGGTGAGAGAAACTGCATTCATCATACTTTGAAGTGACATGTAGACTCCAAAACAAAGGTTTAAGATTCTAAGTAGACTATGAAGTAATGACATTGCTTAAAAAGAGATGAGACAGGATAGATACACAATCAGGAGAGAAGAGATGGATACAAATATCTGCTTTTGCACAAAGCATGTTCATAACACAACTAAGTCTAGTTCAGGAAAGCAGGGGCCAGAATGTCTAAATAAATAAGTTAAGAATAACATATGGAGAGAAGCTTTTAAAAAGTTAAAAACAATATGATTTGAAGCACAGATTACAGCAAACGGTGACGTCAAGTGTCTGAGTTAAATCTGGGAATCTTTTAGATAAGGAAAGGGAAATAGCTGATGCATTAAATTAAAATGTCAATCAAGTGTTTACACATGAAGTCAGACATTATGTCTCATGCTGAGCAAACAAAAAGTTATAAATATAAAATTAATTAAGCAGAGAAGAGGCTGATGTTTCAAAGGCACTAGAAGCACTTAAGATTAATATATCATATAGAATATAGAATAACATTCTACCAATTTTGCTTAAGGAAACATTATGTTATTCACAGGCTACTAACAAACCTTTTTCTGCAGCCTCTCCAGACAAGGGACAACCCATTGACTGAAAAATTGCAAAAACAGAACTAGTAAAATGAAATCAATTACTTCTAATACAACGAATCTTACTTTAGTTTGAAGCAAATCTAATAATAACATTAAAACACAAAGGGTTATCTGTATGGCAATGAGACTAAGGGACAGTGAACGAGCAGTTAGGAAAAGTATGTTTTGCTTTTAATTTACTGAGACTAACAGACTTACTGTAGCAGACTAATTTAAGCAACAGCAGTGAAGGACACACTCAGAGTATAAAAAATAGTGTATTTACATCGTAAGAAGACTTCTGATAAAGTTCCTCATAAAAGATTCTCAAGCTGTAGATAGTAGGCATTCAAGGAACTGCACCAACATGGATTAAGAACGGGACAGCAGGCAGGAAACAGAGGGTGCAGATGTGATGAATGCTAAAATATGGATGGATATAATTATCACAGTAACTCAGAAATCTGTGTTAAGACAAATATTCTTCATGTTTATAGCAATAGTTAGTAAAACTAAAATAGGAGGATTGGCAACCACCATAGAAGCATCACTTAAGACCAGGTACCAGGGAAACACCTGGTAGGTTGCACTTAACAGAGAGAATCCAGGTAGACAGAAGAGCATGGAGACAGCAAACACATGAACTACAAATATAAACTGGGAAACACAGAGCTTGAAGAAACTATTTAATAAAAGCTTTGGTTATCTGAGGTTTGGATGTGTAGGAAGAGTGTAGAATGTACATTTGGGATTTGGGATTTTATGTGAAAATTGTACAAAGCCCTGGTTACACCTCAAATAGACTATTGGCTATACTTTTGTACCAGTGATATGAAAAATAAACTTCTGCTTTCTGTGTGTAGAGAAGAGCAACCAGTATGCTACATTCCACAAATAAAATCTACTCCCAGGCTAGTAGAACAGAATCCTTTCATTTCTAAACACAGAAGACTACAAGGGGACTTGATTCAAGTATGTAAAATACTGTTATGTGAAGGGCATCCTTAACCCCTCGGTGCTGGGACTGTAGCCTGCCCTTTTCTCTGTTCGGTACTGTCTGGAGGTTACTTAATTACTTAATTATTGATTTACTATCAGCTGTGGATCCCCTGCTGACCCGTATATAGGCAGTGAGAGAGATCTACAGAGAACAGAGGAGCGACATGGACTACCAGAGTCTCGCAAAAGCTCTCACATGAGACTTTGTTTTTGTTGTGCTCCAGATTTGTTTTCTTTTTCACCATGTTTTGGATTTGTTCAGTTTAGTTGTTTTTTTTTTTTATATGTACACTGATCCCTGGAAAACTTTCCTTTTCTGTTTGTCGTGTTTTTCTCAGAAACTCACGTGTTTCTGTGGGACTAGTTTTTTTTAGTTACCCAACTAATGTTGTACCCGCAATTGTAAAACTACTATACTTTGTGGGGCTTTTTTTAAAAACGCACAGGAGCTGTGTTTTCATTTTTATTGTGGCTGATTGTTAGCTACAAATAGTACTACCTTCACTGCACTCTTAAGTTTTGGGAAGGCTAGGTGGTGGTGTGACAATATTCAAAGGCATCGACAAAGTCGACCCAGTGGACTTTGACAGAACCAACAGTGAAAGAAGAAGCCAAGGACAGGAAAATGCTGTAGAAAGTGAAAACAGAAGGCACTTTCTTGCACCAAGGAGTGTGGGACTCAAACAAATCGCCTACAAGACAGATGGAGAGAATAGCCTCCTCTCAAGTGGAAACAACGGAAAAGTGCTCTTAAAACTAAGTACAGGAGAACCTTTTGTATACTGAAATGTTAGTGTCTGGAACAAGTCACCCAGCCATGTTGTTGAAGCTAAAAGCCTGGCTTCTTTCAAGATATGGCTGGAGGAGATCCTCAGATCAATTAGCTATTAAAAAACTTAATGAGCAAGGTGAGCCAATTGGCCTTTTTGTATGTGAATATATTTTTATGTTCTTAAAAACCTGTATTAAATAAAAAGGAGAACACAATTCTTTATATACACCTTTAATGAGATTACACCTGTACCTCCATATTTAGAAGCACATGGAAGAGTTGATTCAAGTACACACAGCTCTTTTTACGAATGTTCTATGAAAATTAAATACTATGAAGCATGTGAATTGCTCCTCGCATTTCAAATAAATACACCAAATCAAATACACCAAATGTAAAGTAGCGCTCTTACTTTTCGTAACAATGTTTGTGGTTTACACCCTGAATTTATTAAGAAAATGAAAATTGTGAGTCTGTGTGTACTGTAATTACACAAGACACAAATGAAGTGGTTACTGTTGCTTAGTTATGATTAATGATGTGTAACTAGGTAACCAGGGTTTCGTATTACTAACCACAGTATGAATGGTAGTTATTACTGTTTCTTTTGCAATTTGTTTGTTGAAAAAAGTAAAAGTAAAGGTGACATTTTTAGGGTTTGGAAAAAATCACAATTTTCCCCCATATGAAATAATGGAAATAGGTTTCTCTTTTTACAAATATTTGCTATAGGAAATGGTTTCTGAGAATGAATTATGTTTGTGAAAAGAGGTATCGGTGTAGTAGCAGTCACAGCTGATCTTGATACTGTAATGTGGTGGCTAAAACACAGATGATAAAAAAATCATCTTTAACCTTATCAAGTGTCAGAGAAAAAAATACTTTGTACCATTAATCACTGAATCAGTATTTAGTTAATGTCTACTGTAAAATCACATTACAATACACTGTGTATAAAATCATGGTCTGCACAAAACCCAAATTCGGTTTTTGTTTACTACCAGATCTAGGCCATCAGTAAAGGTCAGAAGAGTGGTGGGGTGGTTAGTGTTCTGGACTCGTAACTGGATGGTGCCCTTAAGCAAGATGCTTCACCTGAATTGCTCCAGCAAAATAAACAGCTGTATAAATTTGTGAACGTGTAAATTGCTTTGGAAAGAAGCATCATCATAATAAAAAGTAAAAGAAACAAAAACTGTCAACTAAGGAATACAACTAAATATTACAAGACTTAAAACAAACTATTTAAAGACAAGCATATAAAGTATCATGAAAAAATATTTTTTTACAAACAAATGACAATTTTAAAGTGATTTGAACTTAACATACCTTATAGTATTTAGCTCCAGTGTCATTCTGAAACAGGGTAAGGTACTTGCTGTCTAGTCTCCAGTAATGTCTCTTTCTCTGGAAGAGAGAGGACAAACAGAAGCCAATGAGCAATATTAACATTTTGTGCTCCCCAAGATAAATATTCACCCCATGAAAGCCTAATTATCATTCAGGGATATCTCATAATATACTGCAAAATATATTCAAAATAACTTGATTAAAAGTGTGTCTAAAGATACTTAAAAACCATCTACTTAATCAATTGCTCACTCCCACAAATCTACAAAAAACACAATTAGCTAGAATATTTTAAAATATAATTAACTGATAAACAAGGCAAAATAACAATAACAATGCTATAGAAAAAAATATTTATTTTTTTTTATTTTAGTTTAAATTAATATAATTTATCATAACAATCATTGTCTTAAGCATGATCACAATCAAGTCTAGTTAATCACATTTTTCCCACAGCTTTTCCTATAACAGTAAATAACCACAATAGATGAGTGATAATGACTTCAAATGTTGAAATCTGAAAAATGAAGTATCTTCAGAAATGCAGAGCATTGTACAGTGCAGCAGTTTTAAAAGTACTGTTCAAAGAGTTACAGTAGCACTGTAAAGGCAACAGGCTGTCACAGACTGTGAAATATTATTCATTACAGGAGTAATTTTTTCAAAGCAATGGACGAAAGACACACCCAAGGTTATTGAGGTAGAATAACATTAAAAAAATTAAAACAGTAAGTTGCGCATATTTTGCGACATGTACTGTATAATTTATTAAACCAATGAAGCAGCATAAAACAAAACATCTTTCAGGTGTAAAATGTTCAAATGTAACATGTTGGTGCTTGGTGGTCATTTGTCAGGTGATTAAGGAACTGAACTCAATGGATGTTATGTTTAATCTGTACAATGCAATAGCAAGACCTCATTATAATACAGTTTGTAAACTTGGTCACCATAAGGAGAAAAAGATACCAGTGCTCAGGAAACAGATCACAGAAGAGTGACCAAATATATTCCTGGATTGAAAGGATAACATACCCATTGGCATAATGAAGTGAATCTTTTCTTCTTGAATAGAGGAGACAATGTGGAAAAGTATTCAAAACCCTCAAAGCACTGATAAAGTCAAATCGACAGTGACATGAACCAGAGGACAGAAGTGGAAACTATGGTGTCCTATCTTCTTTTACATAAGGGGTTGCGGTAATCTGGAAGATGCAACCTGCTAAATTGCCGAAGCTGACACCTTTATCTTCTTTTGAGGCACGGCTGGATACGATTCAATGATCAACCAACTAATAAACCCTGAATCAAGAGATCACTGGTGACCAAGGCACAAGTTTTTTATACCGAAAAATGCTGAAACCCTGATTTAATCAAATGTATATAATAGTTTTACCTGCATCTCTTGCTGAAATATGTCATTAACAAATATATTTTCCCCGTACAAAATTCCACCAAAGTAATGACACATGAATGCTGACTTGTTACTGTAAGTCTATAAAAATAAACAACACATGCTATGCTTTAAGTGTTTAATGTTAGGGTCTTAATTGCCTTCATTCCCAGAACATACGTCAGCACTAATCAGCATAGCAATATTAATTTGTTCCATTACTAACTAAATATTACAGATCTGCCAAATGGCCACAAATGAAAATAATTTATTCAAAAGCAAAACAAGCAGGGCAGCAGTTCTGGGAAAAACTAAGGTTGCTGCTGGAAGAGGTGTTAGTGGAATCAGTAGGGGGCGCTCATGGGTCCTGACTCTCTGTGGTTATTAAAAATCCCAGGGATTTTGTCGAAAAGTTCAGGGGTGTTACTCCAAAATTCTGGCCAGTTTTCCCATTGGCCTTTACCAATCATGGCCACTTAATAATCCCTGTTTTTGGACTGGCTTCATCACTCTGTCCTCCTCCCCACTGAGATCTGGTGTGTGGGGGGCACACTGGCACGCTATGGCTGCCATCGCATCATCCAGGTGGGGCTGCACACTGGTGGTGGAGGAGGGGATCCCCATTACCTGTAAAGTGCTTTCAGTGGGGTGTCCAGAAAAGCGCTATATAAGCATGAGCAACTCTTCTTATTATTAATGACTTTGTCATCAACTGTGATTTTCCAGTCCATCCTCCGATGAAATGAAAGATGAGAAAACGTTGCCCTAAAACTCAAAGTCTTAGGTTCCGGGGTACAACCAGGAGTTTAAGAGGTGTTGCCTGAGCAGCTGTGCAAGCGTGTCGGAGAGCAATCGTGTCAATACGCAGCTCTTACCAGGTTGTCTCTGCTGGTGTAGTGAACCATCCAGCCTTCCCGAACCATAGTGCTGCTCTTCCTCTTGGTGTGCTTGACGGACTGCACCACCCTCATCAGGGGAATGTTGCTGCTGGTGGAAGGGCTGTCCAGAGGGAAAAAGGCAGAGCACAGCAGAATCCCTTAGGACACGCAGAAAGGATTGGCACAGATGGCTGGCTATTAAACACCCTGACAAAACGTGTCTAAAAGGAATTCGAGCTGCACTGTTGGGAATCTTCACAAAGCCCTGTAACAGAAACTCAGCCGTAGAAATGAACAGATCTAAAATCACCTCCATACTTAGCAGTTTATTTTTAACTTAGTGAAAATTCAGTGAAAAATAAAGCCTTCAAGTGATTTATTCTTCCCCATCTTCATTAAGAGCACTCCTTATGTTGTGGAAGTGACAACTTAAATGAATTAATTCCAAACGTCTGATCATATCACACAGTAGGAATTGTAAAATTAAACTGTCAGGTTACCATACTGACATTCACACCGTGATCCTTTGGAAATACAGTGACTTAAACTAATTCACCCCTGCCAATAATATTCTTATATTCTGATGTAATTCCGATGAATTACAAGGAATGTATATAATTCTTTTCATTTAATTGCCTTTAACTTCTAATTGACTTTTTTATTGAATATTATTGTCAATTATGAAACTGAGCACTATCAGACGTGAATGGTAGTGATTAACAGCAGGCCCCTAAATGAGTACTTGGTGGATGCATCATTGGCGGCAATTACTGTACTTCTAAATGTTTTTTTCAGCAGGTCTCTTCCACCTATGCACAGACAGATGTTGGAATGTGCATTCTTCCTGACAAAATCGGTCTACTAGGTTCTTAAACTTTTTCTACTAGATCCTAGACTGGGTCACGTACAGTGAATGTCACTGCTGGCTTTGCAGTGCCATCTCTAACCAGTTTCCTGCTTTCTTAGCTGCTCAGTTTTCCAAGACAGTCTCACTGAGATCAGAAAGTAGTGTCTGAGTGGCCTGATGCACATTCCACTAATTAAAGATGGACATCATGGTACTCAAAGGGAAAAATACAAATCTTGTTATCTGTACCTATCATTTTATCCCTGAGCTGTTTACAAAGTTCCCTGTTCTTCATGGTCAACTAGTTGCATCACTACATGGGCTGTGGTTTGAATTTTTAATATCTATCTCGGGGAACTTAATGAGACAGATGCACTACAGATGCATGCCAGTTTGAAAGTTCACATCATTAGTATAATAGTCTATTTTTTTTAAACCAGACTGATTAAGCTGATTAAGGGATTAAATACTAATGCATTTGAGAATCTGTTCTTCCTTGAATATCTAATTTACCTACTGCCCGATTGCTTTCAATAGCCTGTGGATTCGAAATACACAGTCCTATATTAAAGTGTTATGATTGCAAGCCCAGACAGACACAAAAATGTGGTAACTTCATAAGGCAAAATATAATTTTGCAAGCCACTGTATATGTAGAGAATCAAACTGCAGTTCACAAATGAATTGAAGGCATGTGAAAAGCAATAAACTGGTCTGGTAACTTTCATGCCAATTCGTACCCTGGTTTCTTGTCATTGCCTTTTTAGAAAACCCAGCCTCGGCCATAAATACTATTTATGAGGCAGGTTTTGAAGGTGTGGAATCAATTAAGGTTATTTTTCAATTGAACATTTATATGTAATAGTTCCATTTTCACATTAGTGTAAAAATGTAACTTGATTTGACATCATAACCATGCTGGTCAACATTCTCTTACACATTTTCAGTTCGCTACCTTCTGTCCTTCTTCTGAGTAAGATGATAAGTCTACATGAACAGACTATGTAGATAGAAAGATGCTTACTGTTATTTTTTCCCCTAAACAAAATGAAAATGATTCTTCTGTATTTTCATGCAAACATTCTTCTGTAGCCATTTTGAGTCAAATTTAAGTAAATTTTTTTAAACGTTTTTAACTGTATTTGAATCAAAAACTTCCAGTACAGGCAAGGTTATGTTTTTTTTCCCTGCCCGGAGTTCACCTTATATACCGTTGTACGACGTATGCAGACACAAAGTTCACACAAGCAGCACTCAATGCTCTATCTACAGTATGTTTCTGTCATACCTGATTATTTTAATGGATTCATCGTCCTTCTCTCCATCCAGGTAGGAGTGATCTATGAAGAAGAGCTTGTCGTCTGGAGTGGAAGGCTCCTCAGGGTCATCCAGGCCCCGACTGCCATCGCTGTTGATGTCACTGCTGTCCACCTCCATGGTCATTTCCGAGTCGGGCCCCGGGCTGGCCGGCTCTGGACGGGGAATATTCAGAAACGAAATCCAGCTGCCGTTCCTGGTGCTGGAGTGCGGACACGCGGTTCCGGATACAGATACCCGGAGAACACGGATGGCTCATGTGCATCTTGGGTGATGCTCTCTACCAGCTCAGCTCGGGAACAGCAAAGCAGATTTAAACAGAACTCAAAGATAACAAACCTCTACCACGTTGTTACGAAAACAACAAAACAGAATTCGCAACTCCGTTTAAACAGATTCAGGGACAGACAAACCTGAAGCTTGTTTATTTACAATGTGAGAACTCCTAATTCAATACTTTTTTACCAATAGTCGGTGTATTAACCACTGCTTAAAGTGAAGAAAGGTTTAGTGCCTTTCTGCTTTTCTATTAGAAAGCTTTATTAAGCTATCTATACAGCTTGGTAGAACTGAGTAAATTTAAAAAAATGCTTGAATGAATACAGTATGTATTACAATTATTTAAACAAAAATATTGTTATAAATGTATTGGAACAAAAACAGATATATTTAAGGTGCAAAGTCTTATTAAATACTCACAGGTGCAGTAAGTACAATTCTGTACATTTCAAGCAGCACTCTTATATAAAATTGTGCTAAGCTCATGTGGTCATTTTTAGATACTAGAGAATGACAAATATACTTGCCTCCATTAAAGACAACTTCACCAAGACAGTCTCTCGGTACTTTAGAGGAACATCGCTTGTGACAGTTAAACTTACAGTCTGTAAAATAGCAGGGAAAAAAACAGGTTACAATAAAAACAAAAAAAATTCAAAGTGATTAAAAAGGCAAGGAAAACTAAGAATGTTTCAAACTATAGACAATAAACATAAATAAAACATAAAATGTCAAAATAGACTAATGTATTTAAAGTAGTTATTCCTAACAAGAAGATATTAATCCGTCCTGTCAGACTTGGGGAAAAAAATGGTATATATCTGAACAGTGACTGAAAATGTTAAAAATGTTAAAAATGTTAAAAACTTCTAAAAAATTGAAAATGTCTTTATGAGAGTAAAAGCTCTGTGACAGTCTTGCACTAGAACAAAAAAGGTTTTGAAAGTTTCTGTTTCTTTGTTAAAATGATCCCTAGAACCCACAAGCCCGGTCTGTTTCATTATTAAATGCCACTTTGAAGTCTTCCTCTCTACACCTGGGGTTCACAAGGCACAGAGCTCTTCTTAGATAGATCACTTTATTGGCCATACAATATTTCTTGCATTAGGAATTTGTCTTTTCGCATACCCCAGCTTGCTCTCCATGAGACACACAGACAGGGAGAGATTATACAGCGCCCCTGGAGCAGCTGGGGTTAAGGGCCTTGCTCAGGGGCCCAATGGAGCAGGATTCCTCTGCCAGCCGCGGGATTCGAACCGGCAACCTTCCAGCCACAGACGCAGATCCTGAGCCACAGAGCCACCGCTCCGCCCCATTCTTTCCCTCCGTCCTACCTTTGCACTGCATGCCCTGGCGGAAGAGCCCCTTGAGCAGGCGCTTGCAGTACTGGCAGATGGTGGGCCGTGTGTACGAGTGGATGACAAAGGTGTGAGGCACCTTCACCCGGCCCAGGACCATCTTCTCCATCCAGATGGGGCGTCCGCTCCACGAGGGGATCCGCTTCCCGGCCTCCTGGTGAGAGCGCTGCGGGGGGGGGAGGGGGGAGAGCGGGGCGTCCCACAGTCAAGAGCAAGGCTCCCACACCCCATCCAGTTCAAACACCACGGCGAGCCCCTTGTCTCGCTTGCGATGGCTGGAATTCAGCTCATGAACTATCCAGGGGTCCCAAGACCATCTGCACTCTACGGGTGACAGAACCTTCTCTTTCTGTGGTCAGGCACATCAAAGCTCTGGAATTCTGATGACATCCCTAAGGACATCCGATTCACCTTACCTAAGGTGAGGATATCCCTAAGGATATCGGAGAGTCACCTTCCCTGAGCTCCTTCAGATCAAGACTCAAAACGTTCTTCTTTAGAAGAGCTTTTATTTAACTGGTTCTGTTTCTGCCCCTTTGCTTTCCTGCTGTATTCACATCATTTATTCTGTGTAATCTGGCTTCTCTGTATTTTCTGTCATTGACTGCCTTTTTTCTTACAGTTAAGTACACTGCAAAAACACTTTTAAAGATGCTATATCAAATAAACTTATTGCAGCTGCTGCAAATGTACCTAGTCTCCACTTCACCTGAATTGCCATACCTAAAAACCCATTGCAAAGTTGAATTTATTTCACAGTTCGACAATATACAGACCAATCTGAGTTAACCCATGTTTCTGCAGACATGCATGAACTACACAAGAAGACCAAAGCAGTAATGATGATGTAAAATAGCAACATCCTGCATTTCCATACCAATGTATTACAAATAAGTGCTCTGTAAAATTTGTGGTCAAAACATTCTTTTCACAGTTCATATTTGCAATCGCAAAACAAAATGTTTTAAAAGACAAGACTGGCAGTGATTGCCCTGTTGGCACAGATAATTAAAATCTCACGGTTCCCCTCAACAAAAGAGTGGAAACATGAAGAGGGAAAGAGTTAGCTCAGTCTTAACTTAATTTTGTTTATTAAATTTCCACTGAGCTTCTGTAAAATAAGAAAACAAAAGAGCACACTGCATTGGAAAGGTCTGTAAACACAGCTTATATAAAGGCCGTTACATAAGCAGAGTGGGAGCCAAAATGGTCAATGTTGTTTTGAAACTCAATTGTCTGTGACATTTAAAATTCCGGTATTTCACGAAACACTCAAAAGAGATGGCCAAAATAAAACACTGTATAAATATATTGGACTACAGAAAAAAGCTTTCAAGCAATCTTTCTGAATTGCTTTCAATAGCTTGAACAGCATTCATCATTATTGCATGATGAATCTGCAGCTCAGTGAACAGTGAACTTTCTGAAACAATATACTAGGGGCTTAAAATGAACATGTTTTCAGACATCAATTCAATGAAAAGAATCTGAAAGAATGTTTTTTAAAAAACACAGAGGTCATCTTTGGGCCAAATGGCCTCTTGTATGTAACCTTTCTTATATTTTAAACATAAAATAATACTTATCACTTATTAATATTTTGGTAAAAACAAATTGATTAATATTTCAGTAGAAGATTTCACACAACCTGCGTTGTGCTTCTGTATATAGAATGAAAACAACGAAGTCTGGTCTGGGTACAGAAGTGAAGGTCAGGAGCAACCAATGGTCTAAAACCGAGGTTCTCAAACTGTGGCACGCGGCACGCCCCCAGGTGGTACACCAGATGACCCTGGAAATGTATCGTGTGTACTGAAATATTTCAGTTTCAGGTGTCATCAGTTCCTTAAGTTACCATAAGAGTGTGAAGGCACCTTGACATGACTCCAATCAGATGTCCCATCTGGGCTTTGCAACATATTTTATGAGGAAACCCTCCCATGGTTTAAGACAGCCAATACTGGTAAAAGAGATAAAATTCCAAACATATCTGGAGGTGAAAAGTGATAACCATAATCCTTTGCCTCTGAGCTCCTTACCTCCTCAATAGGCACTGTGGCATGTTCAATTGGGATGGGTCTGGGGACAGATAGCCCAGGGCCTGGTAAGGACACATTGGAGAGTCGTCTCTTCCTCACTCCACTGCAGTTGTTTGGTATTTTAAATGCACAGCGCTTGTGGTAGTTCAGCCCACATCCTAAAAGATTTGAAAACAAATTATTAATCGCATTTGTGCAGCGATTATTTCATCCCAAAGCGTCCTAATGCGGTCTACATATGGAGCGAACCTGCTTCATCCATGACTGAAGTGCAAAGCCCACCTGGGTGACACATGGCCTCACTGCCCAGCAGAGCTGGAATGACTTCACCGGCTGAGTTAACAGGGAGCTTCAGGGAGGCCAGGTTGTTCACTCCGGAGTGGAGCACTCCTCTTTCAGACAGTGCCAAGGGAGGTTTAATGACCAAGTAAGTCAGGAACTTGATTTAACCCTCATCCAAAGGACAGCACCTCCTATGGCTTCCTCGGTGACCATATCTGAATTTCTGGAGCAAACGGAAGAGCGCCACCTACTGATCCAGCCACACCACTGACAGCAACTACCTGGTTTACCTTGAGTAGATTCTGAGAGCTGCGAGATCAGGAGGCATAAGGAGGTCACCCTGCTGTCAACGTGTTTTATGCAATTATATGAAAGATCAATGAAACGAGCAATTTGCTCTCTCTTTTAACACAGCCCATGGGAAACATAATTGTGGCAGAACCCCACCCTGCCCATATCCTAGTTTTTGGAGATGTTGCCCAACTGTACACATTAATTCCCACTCGCCTCCACTAGATGGCTCTACCTGCACTTTGTAAACCAGGCATCTTCAACCCTGCTCCTGGGCAGTACCAAGGGCAGTTTTCTAGGTAACCAGTGAAGTGTCAATATCTAAAGACTTTGAAAAATTCAATTCATTTATAAGACATACTGGATTGGGGTTCTCACAGACAAAAGTTAGAGAACTAAGTTAACAGAAGTGATTTCATACACCACAGTAAATATTTGTAAAAGACACAGAAGTATAGCCATCTCCTTTTGGAACAATGGAACTGTTTCATTAAAGACATTTTTGTTCATCCTTCCACTAATCTATTTTACCTTATTTACATTTGAAACATAAATAATTTTACACTTTAAAAATACACAACATTTAATATTATCTAATAGTCTTACCAACATTTTAAATTTTGCAGTCTGGGCAAATCGACCCATAATAGGAGATCAAAAAAACTTGCGTGGTTGGAGATTAAACACCATTTCATGGCTCTCTCTGCTTTTTGCTGTAACACGCTAAAGATCCATTCAAAGACTAAAATCTTAGCTTCAAAGAAATCCTTTACAAATAGCAGGAAGGCACACACTCAATTGAGACATCCTGCAGAATAACACTACGTGCTTTAATTTTCTCCTCAAACAGGATTACAGAAATTGATGTCGGATTTTCTTTTTAAGTTCGGATAAACATTTAACGCCTATGCTTTGTTTAAATTCTGGCACAGCGTGCAAAACAAAATGGATCAAGAGCAACCACACAAAGCAACCTACCTTCACATTTCAGGCCCTGTCGGACGAGGCCCCAGAGCATCTCTCCACAGTAATCACAGAAGGTAGGGGCTTTGTAAGAATGCACAAAGAGGGCATGTGGTCGGATCTGAAAGTCTTCGACTGTAGCTAAAGCTGGAATTCAAAACAAAACTTAAAAATACTTAAAAAAATAAATGGGAAACTCATACAGAAATAATACAAAAGGGTTTAAAGAAGTAGATCCAAACTAAATGGAAAGAAATTATAAAAAGAAAGAGAAAGGCTGAATTAGTGAGACTGTTCCATGCATAACTCCAGCTCCATGTGCTGAGATGACAAACGTCCAAAGAGCTAAACAAACTCACTATAAATCTGCCCTGCTCACTTTCCGTCATCACTAAGCTATCTAAGTGTAAGTATAAGCTAAGCTAAGTGTAGAGAATTCACAGAGCTGTAACATTTTCTGTGATGTGTTCAAGCACAATGTAAAGACAGCACATTCCACAAATCTCCTGCAGGTCTTGAGCAATTGAAGGTCTCCCACTGAACGAGCAAAAGAACACAGCAACTGGGAATGAACAGAGGAACAAAAAAGTTGAATTTTTGGCCAAAATGACCTAAATGGCAATATTACAGACACTAAACACCGTAAATAAGATTGGTCTTCTTGATCTGAGCAACATGCTGTTTAATAGCATACAAAACAGTAGTTTCTCTGTTCATTGCTAATTTAATTGCTTTCACACCATCCTGTTTCTCCACCAAATATTACTGCCTCTTGGAAGTGCTTTCATTTAATTTCACAGGAGGATTCCCACTGTCCCAGAAAATCATGAAGCTGGCACTGACATCTTTTAATGCCAGATTGTGTGACTTTACCACAAAAAATGAATCCACTTTGGTGATGTCACTGGTCAACATACCGCAACCGTTTCCCATTGATCACCATACCAGATCTCATAATATACAAGACTTCAGTTTGAGATTTCGAACCCGTTTTCATGAGCAAATGGAATACTGCATGTACAGTAGAAGCGGTGAGCATCAGGAAAGCCGCTGCCTAACGCAGTTACACTGTGGCACCGGAGGAGGGCGTTGCGATACCAGAGATCGGTGCTCACGTGTACACAGCTGTGTTTTAAGAGACATGAGAAAGTGGGGGGTGAGGTTTTCTCTGCCTCTGGGATGTTCTTCGCCAAGGACCTGAAACTTTGAAAATCCTCAATTATGGTGACTGGACCATTTCGTTTTTCTACTCATAGGCGATTCCAAATGGAAATTTCCATCACTAACTTGTAAGCAAGTCACATTTGTGATCAGGGATCCCTTAAAATATGAAGAAAATATTTGAAGCAGCATACGACTGATGAAATCAATAACTTCATTGTACATTCACTTTACTAGTAATGGGGAAAAGAACAACGGCAGCATCCGAATAGGTTTGAAAAAATTGCAGCTTGTGCACTTTCACAAGGTCGTGCTGTTTTTGTCCTTTGCTGATTTTCCGTTCTGTAGTTTCACTTGCACGAAGCAGAAGGCAATTATTTATTTTTAATCACATTCATGTTTGGTTTCTCTTCCTGTTCAGGGTCTGGGAGGCAGCACAGCATGAGAATAGGAAAGGTGCTGGAGATGTATGAGGGATAGATATTCAGTATGCTGCTCCATCTCTGCTCTGCGACGAGAAATAAAAGTGGATTCGCCACACCTACAGTAACTTGAAGCAGCTCAGCGCAACCCTTGTCGTCTAACTCATTTGAAACATGTCTGACATTAATACATTACAACCATTTTTTGGCAATTATTTGGATCTTCATCTATATTAGAATTGTATTAACCATTTTATTTGGGACATTGATAATTTAAGGAATTTGTAATATGATATATTTAATCCTTAAGTGTAAATGTATTTTGGGATCCATTGCGTTCCATCAGTTAATTATTTATGCAAATGTCCAATTTGTTTTTTTTCTCCAGGACAACATTTGGCTATCACTGCTGTATTGGAATTTTCGGCGAGTTCATATATGAGGAAAGCTTTCATTATAATTTCTATTATAACTATCATTTCTTTTAAAAACGTATACAGTATATTTATCAAGAGGAGAAAAAAACTAGTACTCCCATCCCCAAATAAATGTTTCTCTGACAAAAAACACACTTTTTATTACTTTTTAATAAAACATACTTTATATTTCCTGCAGCAGAGATTGGCAATTCGGCAGGATATCTGAAAGGAATGCTTCAAATCCAAAATGATGAAAACTCTACCTGGCAGATCACCATACTTCACAGGAATTCAAATAAGTGTTAAGCATGCCAATTTGTAAAAATTCAAAAGTCGTTCTTAGAGTACCAACAGTAACCTGATCTAAAGTCACAGGCAACGAGAGCCCACTTTCTCCACTGTTTGGATAAACAGAACACAAACTCCCTGTAGCAATGGACATGTGCCATACAGGCATTCCACAGAAACTTTAGTCTGACTAGTGTACAGTACAAGCACTTTGTACCATTACAACATAGTGCTTTGTACCACAGTGGCTTCATTTACAGTCAATTTGATATTTATGTCCTCAGGGTGATATTTCTACTCACATCCCATACAATACACAGCACTGACATCTTGCTTTATAGGTCAGCACAAAGAAAATCAGAATCTTGTGCAGTTAATTCCCAAAAGACTGAAAAAATTGTTGCACTACCTATAAGACTTATGAACACTACCCGTTTTTCTTTGATAAGAATACTTGCCAGCTACTTTTAAAAATACTTGATAAATGTGGAAGGTGTTTAGACAACCATGGCCTGAAATTTAGTAATTCATATTTGAAAGTGTACCATCATCATTCTGAGCACATTTGTACTTAATCTTCTATTAGTCTAGTGTGATTAACCATCCTGATTAATTGTCATTTAAAAATGTCTTATGGATTGATTGAACTTGAATCTCTCAGAAACGAATTTTTGGACAGTGTAAGCCAAAGATTTTGATCAAAGAAGGTTTACAGTTCCAGTATTTATATTTCCTCTAATTAAACCCACATACTGTAATACTTACATTTATTACAGTAGTTCTTCATCTGCAGTTTAATTTTGTTTGCTTTTCATTTATTCATTTTAACAGACATCTAGCTCTGGACAGTGAACTCTAAAAACCATTTCACGAGGTGTACACACAGGGTCTTTTGGAGATTTGAACTACATCCTCTGCAGAGAATCAAACTTTCAACACAGTTGCCACTGCTAAATACAAATTATTGGCAAAGCATTCACTGCAGTACGCACTGCCTTTAGACCTGAGGCATTCCAGCCCATTTCAGACATTACACTGTCCTAAACAACCTGATTTATGATGCTCTTTTGGAGAACCTTCTGTAAAACACAATGTGAAAACATATCACCCGCCAACCATAATTTGGATACCTCAGGCTAGCCTTAAAACAAATCACCATATAGACTATGGATGGAGGATTATGTTAACAAGTCTGCTGGAACACCTGATTTATATTCACTCGAGGTTTGTAAACATGATGGATCACTCTGACACAGTATTGTCTGACAGCCATTGTTTCGTGGAAATATGTTTTCCAGGCTCAAGTGCTGTCTATTTTCTTGAAACGTTGTACAAAAGGAATGTGTGGCTGCCCATTTATCATCCATACCTTCAACTGAATTATTCTATTCTATGAATCTATGAATTGGCTTCATTACTCTGCTCTCCTCCCCACTGATAGCTGATGTGTGGTGAGCGTTCTGGCGCACTATGGCTGCCGTCGCATCATCCAGGTGGGGCTGCACACTGGTGTGGTGGAAGGGAGTCCCCATTACCTGTAAAGCGCTTTGAGTGGAGTGTCCAGAAAAGCGCTATATAAGTGTAAGCAATTATTATTATTATTATTCACTGCTCATGATGCAAAGAAGGACCAACCGGTGAGAAGCTGTGAAAACATGCTTTTTACATTGGGAATCACCACAATCACTAGTCAACATGCCTTTTCGCTACACTGTCCAGACTGGTGAGCTGTCCATCACTCACAGCAGACTTGCCTCAGCTAGGCCAAAGATGCAACACTGAAAGCTCACAGACACCCAGCAGGTTTCAGAGACATGCTACTCAGCCACATGACCCCAATATCCCTCTACAGAGAGTGTTACCACCAAGGAGGAGCCCCAGTGAAGTTCACACAGGAAAAACAAAGGATTCCCAGTCTTGTGGACGACTCTGGACAAGTCTTGTGGGATACTTTAAAGAACCAGTAAGGATTTTGTCCTAATTTTGGGCCTAATTTTCTTTATATACCCTGATGTCTAAAACTCTCAGACAGACATCTTAGACACAATCAAGGATTATTATAGTATATATACATGTTATGAGCCTCAACAATTCTCTCAAAGCTTCTGCTAGTGTTTCCTACTATTACAAAAACTTTGACTATTAATACAGCTTACATTGAGAAAGAAGACATCAATCTTGCCATTCAGCAACATGCAGTTCACAGTGATCAGAATGCTAAAATTCTGTTCAATACTCAAAAGTAAATAATATTTCCAAGAGAGAAATTAGTAAGAAATATCTGGTGAAGAACTCCTAATCACTCACAGGTGTTCCACATTCCTGTGAAAGTATTTAGTGGTCTCTGAGTGAATAACACATTCGTCTCCACCTACACTCAGTGGAAGAATGAAGGATTATTCTAGTCAGTTACTGTAAAGAGTACTCTCATGTCCCAGAGAAGCCTAGATCAAGCAAGAGAAGTCAGTTGTTGTACAGCTGTGTGTCCCTGGCCAAATAGAACCAGTCATGACAAACTAGGGCCCTATCAGGTTGGGAAAACGCTGTTCTGTGGAAAAGGAATGAGGAGAGCCTACGGATGCTGCACAGTGGGGAAAACTGGACAGAGGGAGAAAGCACTGCTTCATGGAGGAGTTTGTGGGGGGCTCGCAATTTTGGGAGCACCAGTGAGCTGAGGCAATAAATAAAAGGCAGCCTTTGTGTACGAAAATGCCCCTCTAAGACATCCCAAGAGACAGAGAGAGGACTGAAAGAGGTTTTGCCAGGCCAGATTAATCTGTTAGTAGAGTGAGCCACGCTGCTTTCTCCACTAGCTGAGCAGTAGTTGAGAAAGGAGTAGCAGAAGAGCAGGAGGGGT